CCCCCCCTCCCTCTCCTCCCTCTCCTCCCTCTCCTCCCTCTCCTCCCTCCCTCTCCTCCTTCCCCACTGAGGCTGGGGCCCAAAGCCCTGTGCTCACTAGCACATGCTGTACCCTCCAGCGCCCCTGCCCATGTGTTCTTTCACTGAATACTGGGGTGCTGCTGATTTCCTTCAGGATAAAACTTGCACAGACTGAATTAATATTTTATATAAACTCTGAACCACAGTTAAACAACAGTGTATTTTTGTACAGTATAAACTTTGCAAAAATGTGTGTTCATTTTTATGTGGTTCATTTTATGTGTAAACATTTAAAGTCAAATTGAGTTTTTCAGTATATAGCCCAGGCTGGCCTCAAACTTCTGAGGATCCAAGCCACTCTGCCCAACCCTGATCCTGTTGGGCTTTTAGGCTTGCACCACCCTGATACGTTTTTAAATGGACAAAAGAAAAGACAGTTGCTTGCAGGACTGAGTCAGTCAGAGGGTCCTGTGCACCCAGGACCCACTCTGTTCCTACCCAGCCAAGCAGGTTTGCTGTTTTCTGAGCAGGTATAGATTCCCAGATGTAAGTGATTCATTTCTGGAACCGTGGTTGTTTAAACAGCAGTACCAACTTCAGATTTCCAAATAAAAATAAGTGCAAGTAGCTGCACTCACATTCAGGGCTACATGTGCCCTCCCAGGGAGGTCAGCTGTCCAACCCAGCTGCCCCATACCTCACTTGTTTTGCCTTTCTGGTCATTGAGTCTTCTCCTGTGGTGAGTAGAAGTTCTCACACACGTTGGGGAGGAGGAAGCATCGTGTCTTTGAGTGTTCCTTAGGCATGCAGGGTGGCCTCTTGGGCCCTGAGCCTCACAGTTCGCTGTGTGTGAGGATCCTTCCCAGGCTGGGAGCCATTTCCTTACTGTCGGTCCTGGCTGCCCACACTTCCTTCAGCCTGCCTGTGGTGTGCGTGTGTGTGCATGCATGTGTGTTTGCCTGGAACAGCACTTACTTTTCACCTGACCTTGGTTGGCTACCTCATTAATATGGACAGATAAGCCTCCACCCACCCTGCTCATTTGCATAATTGACAGCTGCCTGTTGCTTTCCATTTTCCTTTTCCTTTTTTTTCTTCTTTGCAGCACTGGGATTGAACCCAGGGCTTTCATACTGAACTACAACCCTGCCCCTTTTCTTTTCTTTTTTTTTTTCCTTAAATTCTTTTATTGGTACATTTTAGATATAGAATACATTTACATTTCTCTTTGGAAACTTGTACCTGTACATGATGTATCTCGGTTCTTATTTTTTCCCCATTCCCTGCCCTCCCTTCCCTAGTTACAAAGACTTTGTTTCCATGTTTTCCATTTCTCATGGCCCTTTTCAATTTTTAGGTTTTTTTCGTACTGGGGATCATCCTTGCGCTTGCACAGCAGGTGGCGAAACCACTGAGCTAAATCCCCAGCTCAATTTTTAGTTTTTTATTTATTTATGCATTGTCAAGTTGAGTTGAGTTGGTAAGTTGGGCTCAGATTTGCAGTTCTCCTGCCTCAGCCTAACAGAGTGCTGGGGTTACATGCATGCACCACTGTACCTGGCTTCATTTTTCTTTTTTGGCTCATCTCCGATTCGGACAGCTACCAGTGGGAAATTCTCTTAAGATCTGAAAGGCAGCACTGCCCCTGTTTTAGGCAACAGGATGTTCATGGGTTAGCTGAGGCCGTCACAGACACAGCATGCATTTTGGGTCTTAGTTCCGAGGACTGGATGAGTCATTCTGTGTCTAAATGAGCTGCAGTGCAAGTTTATGTAATCTAAGCGCATTTTAACCGAGACCAATTCTTGACCCTGACAGGGGAACACAGGGATTTTCAAGTGCAGCTAATTTGCTGCAGTTGGGATTGTGATGAGAATGTAATGCCACATTTGCTCCACTGGCCCACAATCCAAACACACTGTGATGCTTGTTGCCAGACTGCAGACTCTGGCAGCCGCAGAGCCCGTGCAGTTTGGGTTGACTGGGATTGATTCTCTTCAGTTACTGATTCCTTCACAGTGGCACCCTGCTCATGGATCAGGGTGGAGCAGTCAGCCAGGCCCGGTATTTCCCAGCGCTCGCTGCTGTGGGAATTGTGCTTCCCAATACTTCTCTCCTAGGTCCGCCCCCGGGTGTTCCTTCCCTGCCAGGAGCCGGCAGAGTCAGCGCCACGCAGAGCTTGAGAAATCCTAGGTGAGCAGAATTTTTAGAAATGATAGCTCAGGAGCCTTCCTGAGGCAAGAAGAGCCAATTTGAGAAACGGCCTCTGCCGAAGGGGAAATTACCCAGCTCTGCACACCCATCAGACCCTGGCCACACCCAGCCCAGAGTCCCTGGGGCAGTGACAGAGCAGAGACGGTGGGGTGGCCCCATGTGTCAGGGGTCGGTGTGGGATGGAAGGACAGAGCAACATTGCAGTGCAGGCCACACACGCTGACTCTGTGCTGCCGAGGAGACACCAGGCTGTCAGCACCAACCGTGTCTCAGGGCCCCGGATCTGGGGGGCGGCACAGGACCACCCCTTGCCTGAGTGGGATTGGCGTCTGTGTGAAGGATGGATCTTCTCTGGGACCGGGATGGGGGTGGCTTGTGAGAGAGGGTGTGGAATAAAGAGCCGGGTGGTGGTGCACATTTGTAACCCAACTCTACAGGCCGAGAGGAGAGGATGGAAGGCTGAACGGGGGGGGGGGGGGGGGGGGACGGGACACCTTCCCAGCTCACTGAGATCCTGTCTCAAATCAGTGCAGGGACAGGGGGGTTGGAGATGTTACTACGTGCATTGAATCAAGGACCAGAAAATGGGGCAGCCCCAGGGCCCAGAAGGGTGATCAGCTTGCCACCTCGGCAGCCTACTGGCCTGCGTGAACTGGAAGGAGATCAGCAGCCCCCTGGGCACCTTGGGCATCTGTCTCTGGAGCTGTTGTGTGTGCTGACACCTAGTGGCCAGGCCCCTGCATCCCATCCTGTCTCAAGGAGAGCACAGGCTGGACCAGCTTCTGGGCAGAGCAGGAAGCTTTTTACTCTTGGAAGCCCTGACTCCCATTGCGTGTGTGTGTTTGTGTGTGTGTGTGTGTGTGTGTGTGTGTGTGTCTGTTTCTGTTTGAAACAGGGTCTCATTATATAGTTCCATGTGACCTTGAACTCACTATGTAGCCCAGGTCCCAGGTTACCCTTGAACTCACGGTGATCCTCCTGGCTCAGCCTCCCAAGTGCTGGGATTACAGCCCTGCGCCACCATGGGCATGGTACTTGGGTCCTTTGATGCAGTGACATTTGAGCCTGAGCTGCCATGCATGTTGTAGGAGGGGGAAGCTCAGATCCCACTGCTGTCCCCATGTCCCATTGCAGCCAGCAGGCAGGTGGCTCCCAGTGCTGGGCTCCAGGAGCACAGGGCAGGTGAGGCCAACACAGCCCTGATGGCCCCACAGGCAGAGCTGCGCCGAGAAGCAGGCACTTTCAGAGGGGGGCATTGGGGTGCAGGCAAGGAGCCAGAGTCTAACGCCTCCTTGTAAAGGCGTAGGGAAGCTGAGGTGACAGTGACGAGAAGCCAGGGACGGCCAGCGTGAGGGCTGCTGGAGGAGTGTGCCAAGGCGGCCCAGCCTCTCAGGATTGTTCTGGCTAAAGTGGGGGCCCGGGGGAAGGATGAGGAGAAAAGGGACATCCTGAGGTGGCCGCGCCGCAGCCCAGATGGGAGTGGCGTCAGGGGAGATGGAGCCGGGCCATGCAGGCCTGAGGCCCAGAGTGGACCTCACTCAGGGGTCATGGGGAGTCCTGCCCCGCTCCATCGTGCCCTGTAGGTGCTGGAGGGAGGCAGGAGGAGCAGTGATGCTCCGGGACCCTGCCCGGCCTCGTGGACCAGGGGCTGCCCATCCTCCTTGGGGCGTCTCGGCCCCTTTCTGAGCCTGGCTGGAATTGGCATGGAGCAACCAGCAGAGGAAGGGGCTGCGGACTGTATTTAGAGGTGGGGAGGTCCGGAGGAGCCTTTGCCATCTGCCCAGCTGGCACAGATTTTAGCCTACTGTGTGGGCTTTAGGGAGAGGACCTTGGCTTGGGGCGTGAGCACCGACTCGTACCCACAGAGGCTCTGCTGTTCCAAGCCCGCCTGGGAGAGCCCGCCAGTCCGGCTCTTGGCCTGGGAGAGGATGGTGTGAGGAGTCCTTGGCCCGCTGGCCCGGTTCCTGTTCCCCAAGCGCAGCTCCTTGGCACCCGGGCTGGCGAGGCTCCACCCCACCAGCTGCCGAGTTATTTCTGACTCATCCAGGAGTTGCAAGTGTGTAATCCAAGCCCCTGCACACCCGCTTCCTCTCCTCCGTCCCTCCTGGAGCCTTGCTCCTGGGCCCCACTGCAGGTCAGGTCCCCGTGGCCCCTGGACACAGCTGCTGCGCTCCGACATGTGGGAGTGCACTGTACCTGGGTTTAGCCAGCTCTCCTGTTGAGGGGCTCCAGGGGCCCGCCCGGCCCGGCGCTGGCCTCCTGACCTCGGCAGGGCTGCTGTAAGCCTCTGCTCTTCACTGGGGGCTGGCGCCGGGCCCACAGTTCCTCAAGGCCTGGGGCAGCACCTCTGATCGGGTCACTGGGTCCTCGTGTAAGCTGCCCACTCAGGGCCCTGTGCACCGTCTACTGCATGCATAGCCTCCCTTGCACCATCCCACTGCTTCACACATGGCCACAGCACCTGCTCCACACCGAGCTGCCTGGCCGGGGCCATCAGGCGAGGGGGAACCAGGCAGCCTGTCCCCTCCTCTCAGCTCTCAGCAGTGAGACCGGGTGGGAAGGGGTCGCCCACAGGTGCCGGACCTTAGCACGTCTCCCTGCCCCCAGCAGGAATCCCCAGAGCTGGGCCGGGGGGATGAACCGTGAGGGCGCGCCCGGGAAGAGTCCGGAGGAGATGTACATCCAGCAGAAGGTCCGCGTGCTGCTCATGCTGAGGAAGATGGGGTCGAACGTGAGTGCTGTGGGTGTCACCGCAAGGGCGCCTGGCCCTGTGGCTGGGGAGGGGCTGCCTGGGTCGAGTTTGGCTCTGTGGCCAGCGCAGGGCCCAGGTCCAGGGCCTGTCGTGGAGGATGTACGGGGTCTTCCCATCCAGGGCCATGCTGCACCAGGACGGCGAGGGTCTGTGGGTCCACCTTCCCCTCCTCCCCTGTGACCCCAGCTTCTCTCGGGGGTCGGCTGGGCAGGACGAGCACTGAGGAGGGCAGCACACAGGTCCAAGGTTCCTCAGAAGAGGGAGGGGGCGTCTGGCACTGGCCCTGGCCGTCAGCTTTGGGCAGGGTCCGTGTCGTCCTGCTGGCCCTGTGCCAGGCCCAATGCCTCTCAGATTCAGTCTGAGTTCAGGGCCTGTGGGCCCCAGGGCCCAGCTTCAGGGGAGGCCCCACCCCATCGTCTGTGAGTGGGCGCTGCCTTCACCTTGCACTCTCTCTGCAGCTCACGGCCAGCGAGGAGGAGTTCCTGCGTACCTACGCGGGGGTGGTCAGCAGCCAGCTCAGCCAGCTGCCCCAGCATGCCATTGACCAGGGTGAGTGGCATCTGCGTGCTTCTCCAGGAAGCCCCATGGCAGGGAGGGAGACAGACGGCTCTCCTGCGGGTCCCCTCCTTCTCCAGCGAGCCCAGTGGTGGGATCCCTTTCCTTAAGCTTTGCTTGGCCCTGCCTGCCTCACACCTGGCTCAGGGTGAGTCAGCCCGTGTGCCGTACCGTGATATTTACAAGAGTCCCCCAAAGCACTGGGGTTCTCCATGTCCCCAAGGCAGTTGTGTCTTTGGTGTGGCCACAAGCAGCCCTCAGGGTCACAGGCAACACAGGAGAGTTTACTGTGGCAGGCACCATGCCAAGTGATCATTGTTCCCAGGTTCCTTTAACTGCAGAAGACAGCAGTCCGTATCACTTCCGGTTACTACCATAAGTTGTCATGGCCCTTGCTCATGCAGCCCTGTCCTCTGTCACCACCCAGGCTGCTCTCCCTCTCTGGAAGGCTGATCTTGACCCTGGGGCTGGTAGTCTTATTTTGTTTTTGTTTTTTGAGATAGGGTCTTGCTATGTAGTTCAAGCTGGCCTGCAACTCACTACATAGCCCAGGTGATCCTCCTGCCTCAGCCTCCAGAGAGCCAGGATTACAAGTGTGCCCCACTATGCCAGACTTTGTAGCCCAGTATTCTGACCAGACTCTCCATGTAGTCCTTTCTGTTACTCTCTTTATACTTTGTTGGAATTATAAGCATAAAATACTCTGGCCGTGGCGTGTCCAGACATGTGTCCCATCCCCGAGCCCCGGAGTGTGGGTGGTGCACGCTGTGCTGCCCTGGTTCTCCTGGTATCCTGGCTCCACCTGGCACCAGGGCTGGTCCCCAGGTGGGACCCTGGGTGTGACCCAGCCCGGGCACCCAGCTCAGCAGAAACCTCCCAGGGCGCTGGCGGGCGGCTCAGGTGGCTCCCTGGACAGCACTCACCGTGGTGGCTTTGCTGAGTCCCCTGGGGACTCAGCTTCCTCCCCAGCTGGTCTCCATCACCTGAGCCAACCAGGTGGGGAGACGCTCCTTTGGCCTGACCCAGAAAGAATGAAAATAAGTCACACAGCACCACAGCGAGTCCCCTGCCACACACACTCACAGTGTATGGACAGGGAAGCTGGCCACGGCCAGGTGTGGCACACACATGTAATCCTAGCAGTCAAGAGGCTGAGGCAGGAGGATCACCAAAAGTGTGAGGCCAGCCTGGGAAAAATTGCAAGCCCCTGTCTCAAAAAACAAAAAACAAAAAGCTGATGAAATATGCACCAGCTGTTAATATAAAGAAAACTTTGTGTGGCACTGGGCCTGGAACCCCCAGCCCACTAGGTGCCTTTGAAGGGTGGGCCTGTCAGGAACCTCCACTTCGCATGTCACGGCATCTTAGAAAGTGAGCTTTTCTATGCTGTCCAGACGTTGGTTTTGTAGCACGGGGAAGTTTGCGTTGCAGTGCTGGGCACACACCTGGGGACTTGCAGATGCTCCAGCAGAGCCACGCCCAGCCCTTGAAAGCATTGACAGGGATCTGAATCAGCACAGAGCATGCAGATGAGCTCCTCTGTGCTCCAGGAAGAGCGCAGTGACTGCACCTTGCGGTGGACCTGGCCAGCAGGCCCAGATGGGTGTGGACGGGGCCCCCAAGGGGTGCAGTGTGCAGACACTTCTGTCTGGGCAGAGGGACCAAGGTGTGGCTGGGGCTTCTGCACCCTGCCCCCCACCTGGGGACGGTCACCTCTGCTCAGGGTGGAGTGGCAGACCTGGAGGATTCCCGTGTCTGGGGCAGAGAGGGTGGCTGTGCTTGGAAGAGCCTCCTAGGACTTCAGTTCTCTTCTTTTCTTCTCTTTTGGCTTTTGAGACAAGGTCACTGTGCAGCTCAGGCTGGCCTCAAACTCAGGTTCCTCCTGCCTCAGCCTCCTGGCTATTGATTACAAGCATCCACCACCACACCCAGTTCTCCTCTCTTTTTTCCTCTCCTCTCCTCTCCTTTCCTCCCTCCCTTTTTCCTTTCTTCTTTCCTTCCTTTTTTCTTTCTTTGCTTTTTTTTCTTTGTTGTTATACTGGGGATGGAACCCAGGGTTCCACATAGAGCTCCATCTGCAGCCCTTTCTTAATTTTATTTTATTTTTATATTTTGAGCAGAGCCTTTTGAGGTTGCCCAGGCTGGGCTTGAATTTGTGATCCTTCTGCCTCAGCCCCACAGAGAGTTGGGATTACAGGGATGTGCCAGCAATGTCAGCATTTTTATTTATATTTTTTAAATTATTTATTTTATTTAGAGACAGTGTCTCACTGTGTTGCCCAGGCTGGTCTCAAACTCCTAGGCTGAAGGGATCCACCTGCCTTGACCTCTTGAGTAGCTGGGCCTATATGTGTGCACTGCTGTGTCCAGCTCTGTTACTTTCTCTGTGTGCCTAAAGATGCCACAAACAAACACAACCCTGAAACTGCAGTCTCGTCTCTCCCTGGAGGGCTCGCATGCCAAATGCCAGGAGCCTGCAGTGCTGCCCACGCCATGGGGCCAAATTCGAACCTGCCACCCTCTCCCCTGGTGGAGCCAGCCTCAGCCGGTGCCCAGGGTGTTGTGCTGTCAGTGGCACGGGCCCTACCCAGGTGTTGGAGCCCAGATCCGCGTGTCTGGGGGGTAGTGTACTGGCAGGGAGCCAGCCTGGTGCCCATAGGCCTGGTGTGACCACCCTGTGCCCAGCAGGTGGCGCCATCTGTCAGCAGATGACAGGCTGTTTTGCTGGCCGCCGCCTCCTGCCACTCACTTTGGGCCCCTAGGAAGCCCTGAGCAGCCCCAGCCGTGGAACTGCGCTCAGCTTTGTCCCTTGGGGGCCTGGGCACCACCTTTAGGCCCACAGGCACTTATACCCTAGGGCTGCCGCCCAGCCCTGGAGGAGCCTGACTTAGGGCTCCCCATGCTACCAGGGACCTCACTGCTCTCAGGCTGCCTGGCCTGTGCCGGCTGAGGCCACTAATGACAGGCTTCTCCCCTTCCTTCCCTGGACCCCATTCCCTTCCCGGGACCCCATTCCCTTCCCCGCCCTTCCCCTTCAGCCTCCTTGTGCCGCTGTCCTCCTCTCCTTCACCCCCAGTCCCTCTCAGCGAGGTCAGCTGTGTCCCTGCAGCTTTAGCAGACAGCTCAGGGTCAGCACTTTCAAATGAGAGACCCTCTGGCCGGACTTTTCTCCTGACCCAAAGGCCAAGCCTGGGGTGACTTGAAGCTTGGGGACACCAGCAATTTCCCTCCACTTAGAATTGCAGGGGCTCCCTGCTGTCTGGAGAGTGAGCCCCAGGCCACCCATCCCACTCACAGCTGGGGTGGCCTTGGCCCTCCCTCAGGCTGCATGTTTCCTCCCTTTGGCACCAGGGGCCTGGCCCGAGCCCCCTCCCACAGCCGCGCAGGCCCAGTGTGGAACCAGGGACCAGTGTGCACAGAGGCGTCCTGGGAGAAGGGCTGGCTGTGGCAGGGAGGGCCAGTCCCCTCCTCCAGGACCACTATGGGTGGTTTCCCAGCTCTAAAGTAATCCTCAGTCTGTGGAAAACAGTAGAGAGGCTTACAGGATTGACAACTCCTGTTGCACTGCTATAACCGTGATTAGCCTTTTCTTCAATTTCCCAGCGGGGTTTTTTTTTCCCAATGCCAAAGATTGAACAAGGGCCTCGAGCATGCTAGGCAAGTGCTGCACGGCTGAGCTACATCCCCAGCCTAGTTTTTTTTCTTTTGAGACAGGATCATGCTATATAGTTCAGGCTGACCTTGAATTAATTCACTATGTAGCCCAAGCTGACCTGGAACTTGCAGCAATCCTCCTGCCTCAGTCTCCAAGTGCTGGAATTATAGGTGTGCACCACCATGCCAAGCTAAATTTTATTTTGAGTTAAATTTCCACTAAGTTGCTCAGGCTGGCCTCAAAATTGTGATCCTCTTCACTCAGCCTCCTGAGTAGCTGGGAATTTTTTTTTTTTTTTGTACCAGGGATTGAACTCCATACCTTGCACTTTTGAGGCAGGCGCCAGAACCACTGAGCTAAATCCCCAGCTGAATTGATGGGATTACAAGCATGTACCACCATCCTCAACTCCCATCAGCCTTTTAGTGTTCTTTTTTTTGGTATGGGGTATCGAACTCGGGTCCTTGCACTTGCGCAGCAGGTGGCAAAACCACTGAGCTAAATCCCAGGTCCCCCAGTGGCCTTTTAAAAACATGCATATTGAGCTGGGTTTTGTGGCACACACCTGTAATTCCAGCTCTGTGGGAGGCTGAGGTAGGAGGATTTCAAGCTCAAGGCTAGTTGGGGCATGATAAGAGATCCTGTCTTAAAATAAAAAATTATCCAAAGGGGTAGGGATGGTGGGAGGAGATGGGGAAAGGAAAGAATGGAAAGGAAAAATTATGAGAAAAGAAAAGAAAATGGAAACAAAGTATGTAAATAGGGAAGGGCACACAGGTAATGGGGAAAAAATAAGAACCAAGATATATCATGTACAGGTACAAGCACCCAAAGATAAATGTAAATGTATTGTATACCTAAAATGTACCAATAAAAGAATTTAAGTAAAAAATAAAATTAGTTAATTAATTAAAAATTTAAAAAGGGCTGAGGATATAGCTTAGCAAGCCCCTAGGGTCATTCACCAGTACAGAAAAAAAAAAGAGAAAAATGTGGGTGTTGGCCAGGCATAATGTAATACCAGTACTGGGGAGGCTGAGGCAGGAGGATTGCAGTGAGTTCAAGGCCATTTTGAACTACACAGTGAGACTCTGTCTAAAAATAAAAAGCATGCATGTTAAAGGTGAATCTCTGCGGCATAAATATATATATTTTAAAATTGTTTAATTGCTTTAATGTGTACATGATGATGCATATTCACAAAACTTATGCAGCTTATACAGCATGAATTTTTTTATTTTGGTACCGGGTATCAAACTCAGAAACTTGGCCTTGTGAGCCAGGCATGGCACCACTGAGCTAAATCCCCAGCCCTTACAGCATAAATATTTTAACACTG